CGCTGTTTTGGGTCAAAGGATTCGAAAAAGCGCTCATGCCATTTATATGCTTCCAGGATTTGAATGATGCCTAGAGAAATTATTCCACTACTGAGAAGAAATTTAGCCGTTGTTTTTGCTTTAGAAAAGTTTCGATCTATTTGCTTGGTACTAAAATCATGTTTTTTTGATCATGCAACTTTGCGTTACTGATGACAAAGAAAGAGGCAAAATCGAAATTAATAGATGGATACTTCTCTTGAGTGAATTCTATTGGAGATGAAAGACAAAAGAGGGATAGAAAATCGTGTCGCACAATCATTTGAGTCATCTAGTTCATGTAGAGGATAAACTCATTTGCAAGAAACGTTCCCTGACGAGCGAATTGTTTCCACGAATGTGACATTACCGTGGTATGCAAATCTTGTAATTATTTGGTTACTAATATCTACCTCCTGGTTTGTCTAGGGCTCAAAGAGATACGATCAAGAGTGATGCCAATATAATGTGGGGGATGACCCTACTTGTGGAAGCATTGTGCAGATCAAGTAATAAGAAGGTGGCATTCATGAAAATGAAATTATTTCATTCTCACCTTTTGTTATCTTATGCATGTGGAGGTCACTTTGGAGCTAAAAGGATAGTGAGAAAAGCGCTAGAATGTGGTTTCTAGTGCCGTCTTATTTCAAGATCAATTCTTTTTGTAAGTCATGTGATAATTGTCAAAAGACAGGTAATATATCCCAAAGGAATGAGATGCCACAAACCCCATAATATTTGCGAAATTTTTGATGTGGGGCACGATTTCATGGGACCGTTTTCCTGTATTTTGGTTATGTTTATATTTGTTTGCTGGTGATATGTCTCAAAATGGGTGGAAGCTAAAGTACTAGGAATGATGATTCAAAGTGTTGCAGATTTATCAAGTCTAACATATTCTGCAGGTTTGGAATTCCAAGAGCTCTAATAAGTGATCGAGGCACTCACTTTTGCAATGAACTGTGGAGGCTTTGCTAAGAAAGTATCGTGTGACCCACAAGGTGTTATGCCTATCATCTGCAAACTAGTGGACAAGTGGAAGTTTCAAATCGAGAGATAAGTCCATCATTGAGAAGACAATCAATCCAAGTAGAAAAAGACTAGAGTTTGTGTTTGGATGATGCCTTGGGGCGTATAGGACTGCATATAAGACGCCCATTGGTATGTCACCTTTCGGTTGGTGTTGGGAAAGCATGCCTCTTCCAGTGGTTAGAACACAAGGTTATTGGGCAATCAAGAGTTTCAACATGAAGATGGATGAAAGTGGAGAACACAGGAAGTGCAACTACAAGAGTTAGAGGAAATTCGCAATGATGCTTATGAGAGTGCAAGGATTACAAGGAAAAGACAAAGGCTTTTCATGACAAGATGACTCTAGGAAGGAGTTTAAAGTTGGTCAAAAAGTTCTTATACCATCACGGCTTCGTTTGTTTTCGGTAAGTTTCGTTCGTTGGATTGGACCTTTTGTTGTTACTAATGTTTTTCTCGTGGTGTGTTGAAATCAAAGTTTAGCAACTTCTAAAGTGTTCAAGGTGAATGGCCATAGACTTAAGACTTTTATGAAGGTTTTCAAGAAGAAAATGTGGCAAGAATGGACTTGAGGATCTGATTTATACTGTTTGAAGAGGACAACCTTGAGTCAAGCCAACGACAATAAACAAAGGCGCTGCTTGGGAGGCAAACAAGGGGAGTTGTTTTTCTTATTCTCGCATTTTAAATTTGGTTATTTTTCCTTTTCTTTGCATTTCATCTTACATTGCGGACAATGTCAGTTTTAAGTGTGGGGGAGGGGATTTAGGTTGTGTTTAATCTGTTTCAAAAAAAAAAATAAAAAAAACAAATAGCTTTTTGTTTTTAGGAAGGTTTATGCTTTAAGTCATATCTTTGAACGTCTAGTGATGCATGAAATAGTAACTTGACTTTGTTATGAGCATTCCTTGACTAGGATGTTAGCAATATTTCAAAAATAGAGTTAATCATATTTGAATCTTTGTAGTTTTGAAACAATATGTCTTGAGAAGTTGTGTAAACTTGGTGACGAAGCATGATTGATGAGTGTATAACAACCTTAAAAGGAAAAAAAGAAAATTGTTCTCTAAGCTAGTCCTAAATTTGGGTTTAAGCAAATAGGAAAAGAAAAGAAAGGTATGTGGTGGAGTCGAGATGGAGCATAAAAACACTCACTCATAAAAAACCATGAAATGAGATGGAGCATAAAATGCACTCATTCTTTTTCAAAACAGAAAAAAAAAAATATCCCTAGGTTGCTACCCAGTTTGTAGTAGTAAGAGAAACAGTTGAGGAAAAAGTTGAGAGGTGAGTTGTACATGAATGGTTGTGATTAGTTTCCTGTTGCATGGACTAATTGAGAGTAATTGTGGAAAATGATGAAGAGAGATGAATGTCATTAACTCTACTTTATTTTATTTTGTTGCTGCCTAAGTTAGGTATGAATAGCATGGATAAAATATGTTGCTTATGCATCATGATGGTGGTTCTTGATATGACTTGAGTGTGTGTATGTTTGTTTGAATTAGTTTGCCCGAGGACGTGCAAAAGCAAGGTGGGGGGAATTTGATGAGAATGCAAAATGTCATATTTACCCCCCCTTAATGTCTAGTTTTATACTTAGTGTTGCCTAATGTACTCATTATATTCTATTTGATTTAGGATGCAAATGGAGGCGTTAAATGCAAAACGAAAACTAATTAGGTGAATTCAGATAGTTTTGACAGCTTCGTAATTTGGGCATAACTCTCTCATCCAGCTCTGATTGAGATGATTCAAAATGTTGTGGAACCCTAAGAAATATACTATAACCTTAATTTTTGAGTTTGGAGAGAACTACTACATAAAGGTTATGATTGGGTGAAGTTGACGACTTGCACTGCCGATGTTCTGGAACATTCCGCCTTGCCATGCAAGTTAAAGAGGCAATTTATTATTGGAAGATTGAAGACCTGTTGCACGCAAGTTACGGCTGGACACACCACTTTCCTATTTATTTAGGACTTTATTTTATTTTCAATTAATCAGAATCAGATTAGGATAAATGTTATTTTAGGATATTAGATATTTTAAGAGATTTAGTGGATTAAAAGATTTGAAAGGGATTGTTTAAAAGGAGAAAGAGACCAGATTGAGAATACCACACGCCTCTTTTTTTCTCTTTTGGAATTTTCTCTTTGAGTTTGATTATGGCCATGAGCGGCTAAACTTTTAGAACTTGGTCGAAGGAAACGGAGGGCTCGGAATCAATAAAATTGTGAGATCTAATCTAATTTTAATGTTATTATGTTTTGAGTATGGATGTTCTTCTATGCATATGTCATGATTGTTGGTTTAATTACTAGGATGCCTACTGTTTATTATTTGTTGCAACTACTACAAGTTAGATATCAAATCCATAATTGTTTGATCCTTTAACTGTGAAGTAATTAGTTTAAGAGTTGCTGCGTCAGGAATTATTAAGTCTTAAGAAGAACATTTGACTGAATTAAATACAACTGCTTGTGTTTGTGTTGTTCAGCTTCATCGATCTCTCTAGGTCTTAAGGCTGCCACTAGATTAAATCTTTAGCGCTTGTCTAGGGTTGTTTAGTAGTAAGATTAATTAGATCGCTTGTTTCCTAATTAATTACAACTAAGGAGAGATAGGAAAATAGTTCCAACGGTGAATACTCAAAGTAAGAATTCATTTATTTTTGCATCAATGATCAGTTGTAAGATTCCGATGGTGGATGTTGAGTTAGACCAAGTTTCATTAGTTTGATTGATTTCGGTAATTTAGGTTGAATTTCTTTTCCTGAAATTGTTTCTGTTTTTACTCAAATCCCCCCCATACTGGTTCATGTAACATAAAACTCGGCTAAACACTCTCCATGGGAACGATCCCTACTCACACTACTATGTGTATTTTTAGGGTTTTAATTATGGGTGCCTACGACAGCTCACCACCAGGATTGGCCCCTAGCAAGGCATTATAGCCACCCAATAGATTCGGATTCAGCGAAATTGCTACCTGTCAACGATATGGTTACTGTGCAATCAAAACCTTTCATCATCTGTTATCTCATCTAGATTGAGGTATAGAAATAGTGTCAACCTTAGTTATCCTCGATATATTTATATTCAATTACTAGAACAATGACCAGAATAATAAATTAGATTGAGCAACAACTCAATCCCGCAGTGATCACAGATTTACTGTCATTGTCATTAATTGAATTGCGCTATGAGATAACTTTTCCCGTACCCGAGAGTGATGAATCCTCTGTTGATCAACCATAGTCTTGATACACTCTTCGATGTAGCCAATCACTACCGTATTTGTAGCTCTGAATAGAAATGCATTGGGCTAGTGTCAAACTACACCGATCGGTGCACAAGGCGCTCTGGTAACCTCAAGTCTAAGGATCACATACACCACCATTCGTTAGAGGATTTGTTCCATAGACATTGGGGTTACCATCTATATGGAATCATTTGGTGGGTCAGTCCAGTGAACTTGCCTACAACAAGCACCTGTGTGTTGCACCAGGTTGTCAGCAAACAACCTTAACAAGTGAGATCAATCACTGCCTTTCAGCAGGGTCGTTCAACACTATGATAGTGTTACAATATTATCTGTGCCCTTGGTTAGAATAATGCTAGGGGTACAAACATTTCTTGAATGGCCACCATATGTGCTCATTGGGTTTTCACTATCAAGATTCGAAACACTTGATACCCTCGTCACGGTTTTACCATTCTAAGGACATATATCAATACATACAACTATGGTTTACATGATATAGTAGATAATGCCTTTTATTGATTAATAAATATTATTACAAAGAGTCAATTCCATAATAATTGATTGGCTCTAGGGCACCTACTCTAACAATAAGGAGCTGGCCTGAACCTATAACCATTAGTGAAGTAAAGAGTTTTCATGGTTTAGCTTCTTTCTATAGGAGATTCATGCCCAATTTTATTACTGTTATGTCACCCATCACTAAGTGTTTAAAGAAAGGAAATTTTGAGTGGACAAAAGAGGTAAGTGGGGCATTTGAAGTAATAAAGAAGAAGCTTTGTGAAGCACATATCCTAGCTTTACCCGATTTTAACAAAGTATTTGAGGTTGAGTGTGATGCTAGTGGAGTTGGAATAGGGGCAATCCTTACTCAAGACAAGAGGCCGTTAGCATACTTTAGTGAGAAGCTCAATGAGTCTAAGAAGAAATGTAGCACTTATGATAAGGAGTTCTATGCCATTATTAGGGCATTAGATCATTGGAGTCGCTACTTAAGGCCTAAACAATTTGTGCTTCATTCGGATCACCAAGCTCTCAAGTTCATCAATGGGCTACATAAGTTGAACTCTAGGCATGCCAAATGGGTTGAGTTTCTTCAATCTTTCTCATTTGTTTCCAAGTACAAGCAAGGGAGCATGAATATGGTGGCTGATGCTTTGTTAAGAAGGTGCTCCATCCTTTCCATTTTGGATGCAAGAGTACTTGGGTTTAGCATGATGAAGGAGCATCACAAGCAAGATGAAGAAATTGTCGTAATCATTACTAAGTGTACTAAGGGTAGTTTTGAAGATTATATGGTCCAAGATGGATTTTTGTTCAAGGGCAACAAGCTAGGTATGCCTCATGGGAGTTTCTTGTGAGAGAGGTACATGGAGGAGGGCCTGTGGGTCATTTTGGGGTTACCAAAACAGTGGAAGTTCTTAGAGAGCATTTCTGTTGGCTGAAGATGCTTGGGGATGTGCAAACCATAGTGGCTAGATATGGAGTTTGTCATAGAGCCAAAAGTCATTTCAAATCAGGGATGTACACTCCATTGCCGATTCCTAATCAACATTGGGAAGACCTTAGCATGGACTTCATTGTAGTCGTGCTGAGAACTCAAAGAGGTAAGGTTTCCATAATGGTTGTTGTTGATAGATTCTCTGAAATGGCACATTTTATTGCATGCAACAAGACCAATGATGCATCACATGTGGTTGAGCTATTTTTCAAAGAGATTGTGAAGTTGCATGGTGTACCAAGAAGTATTGTGTTGGATAGGGATACTAAGTTTTTAAGCCATTTTTGGAGGTCCTTATGGGGTAGATTAGGCACCAAACTCTTATTTAGCACTTCCCATCAACGCCAAATCGATGGGCGAACGAAATCACAAATAGAACCTTAGGAACAATGCTAAGAACTTTGGTGAGTAAGAGTTTAAGAGATTGGGATAATAAGTTAGCTCATGCTGAGTTTGCTTACAATAGGTCCCTTAGTGTTACGACCATTGATGTGCAAGTGAATCTTGATGCCAAAGAAAAGGCTAGCTCCATAAAGAAATAACATGAATCCATTAGAGCCCAAATATCCAAATCCAATGAAGCATATAGAGAAAGGGCCAACAAACATAGAAAACCCACCTATTTTCCACTGGGAGACCTTATGTGGGTCCATCTAAGGAAGGAAAGGTTCCTATCCAAGAGGAAAAGCAAATTGGCACCTAGGGCCGATGGTCCATTTGAGGTTCTTGAGAAGATTTGGGAATGCTTATAAGATAGATTTACCATTAGAGTTTGGTAATGTTTCGGCTATATTCAACATTGGGGACTTGTCACCCTACTTGGAAGATGGAGACTTATCGGATTTGAGGTCAAATCCCTCTCAACCTAGGGAGGATGATATAAACCTCGGCCCAATGAGTTCTTTAATTGGCCAAGATTTTCCAATGAAGAGGCAAGAAGCCCAAGCTTCCCAAATTGTGCAACATTCGACCCAAACCATTAAGGAGATTCATAAGCTAGTCCATGGAGTAACAAGGATCCAAGAAGTGTTCAAGGCCTCTAACAATAGTTCAACCCGTGAGCAACAAGTGTGGAAGAACCTTTTTGGCCCATGTCGAAGTGAAGGATGTCATTTGATTCAAGTGAAGGAGACTAATTCAAGCTAAAGGTGCTTAGAGACAAGAATCCTTAATTTAAGGAAAGTGTAAGATAGCTTGCATTAAATAGGCATGGTCCTACCTTTTTGTGTGTGTGATGTTTAGTTATCTTGGCATTATTTAATTGTAAATTTTGTGTAAAAGTCTTGCTCATTGCCGCCACTTATCCTTGTAAGCCTATATAAAGGCAACTTGATTATTTTGTACGGGAGACAAATCTATGAATGATGAATAGCATGTTCAGGGAGATGAGTTCTTCTTTGTTTTCCTTTATCCAAGTTTCGGCCTAAACTTAGTGGTGGATCATTTCAAGCTGGTGGAGTTTCCTTTAAGCTTGAATGTTCTTGGTAATTCTATCGTTGTAAGTTACCAACAACTTCATTCTCTTTTCCACAATATTTTGAATGTGTTGTGTGTTCTTGGTTTGCTGAGTTCATGCTTTGAATGATTGACTAAATTGTGTTGTTGTGTCATGCCATTGGTGAGAAGACAAACTTGATGTTTGATAAAAGTGTAATGCCCCGCTTGAGGTACGTAGTTAAGATTTTTTGTATTACTTAAATGTTCATTGATCCAGTTTCAATTGAGTTTGTACGTTGTTATTTTTGGTTGGTTGGTCTTTGGTTGAAATGGTATGTTGAGTTGCTTGAGTGTTTGCCTTGAAATTGGTTGAGATTTGAGGAATCTTGGTATTACAGTCTTCGCCGGGGCGAAGAATAGTCTTCGCCACAGCGACGTTAGCTCTGTGTTGCGATGTCGGTTATGTAATTTTTCACTGGGGCTACCGAACTTTCTTCGCCGCGGCGACGGGACGGCAATAAAGTTTCTTGAGGTTTCTAGAGAATTCTCCATAGGGGCAAAATGACCATTCTACCCCTAATTAGCAGGAAAAGTGGGGAGTGAAATGTAAGGAAATTTCATGGAGAATAGGTTAGTGTGGGGGTGTGAGTGTAATGAATCAAATGATATAGATGGAATTTCTGAGGAAGAGCAAGGGCAAAATGGGAAAGGATAGTTATAATATGAACTAAAAAGGGTTAAGTGTAATAAACCCTTCATTTTACCCATTTCCACCACCATTCTCATTCTCTACTTCCTTTCAATCCTCCATTCAATTTTTCAAGATTTCTAAGGAGTTTTAGGGAGCTTTTGGGGTAATTTTAGTAGAGCTTGAATCTAAAGCATCCTAAGGTAAGGATTCTTGCTTTAGATGTGAGTTTGCTTATAGTTGTATTGAAGTCTTATATTGTTGTTATTGTTATTGTTTAAAGTTGTAGAAAGAAGACAAGACAACAAGGGAAAGGAGAAGTGTTAGAGAAGTTACTTATTCACAAGGTAAGTAAATCCAACCAAGTTGAGATTTGAAAAACAAAGCTTTGAGTAGAGATTAAGTAGAGATGTATGCATGTATAAATATGTATTATGCTTGTTGAGAAATTGAGTTGAGATGAGTATCGATTTTATGGTTGTTGGATACACTTCATGTATGAGAAGTGTTTTAATGTGTATTGAGAGATGGAAATTGAGATGAAGTTTGAGAGATTTTGTGTAAACCCTTTTTGGACGTGCTTTTCTTGACTATGACTATGGCTATATAAGGGAGTTTTCCCCCTTTTGGATGGCTAGAGAATAGAGTAGAGTAGTAATTATAGTAGAGTTTTTATATGCACATGAGTTGTTTGATGAAATGCCTAAGAGAAGTATGAGTATGATTAGTAAACCTTAATTCTTGCAACATTGTAAATTGGCATTTCATAAGTGCATTAGTGACCATGAGCCGTCCATACACATTATTTATGCACTTAAGAAGTAGCTTGAGAAATAGTAGAGAATTTGAGTATAAGCTACTTTAACAGTAAAGAGAAAGAGAGAATGAGCACTAGAGAACAAAGAGAAAGTAGTGCTAAACGAAAGGATAGAGTAGGTTGTGCGATGGGGAACGTGTGAGTAATGGGTAGAGTATTCCCACATGTACACCGCATTGAGAGAGCGGCATGAGTATGAGAGAGAGAAGTGGTGTAGCCTGTGAGAGTGCATGCGGATAAGGGCTATACCCGAGAGTACCCGAGAGAGATATTATATACTCACATGGCTAGGGTTCCGAATCCATGCATAACTGAGTCCGATCGGCTAGAACGAGTAGAAGTCACATAGAATAGGAGCGAGTCTCGACCGTGCCTCCGGTAAGATGAGGCCGTGACTTACTAAAGAGAGTCAGTAGAAAAGAGTTATGAGAAAGAGAAAATAGTGAGAAGTATAAGAGAATGAGTAAATGAGCATTGTAAGGAAAGAATTAGAGAGACAGTTACGGGGTTAGATGAGTAGAGGATTTGCTTACTGAGCATTGTTTTAGTGTTCACCCCGTTGTTTCCTATGTTTTGCAGGATCTAGGTGAGGACACGCTTGGATGGGCGTCGATAAGCGAAGGGAAATGGCTACACTGTCCACCTTGTTTTTGATAGTTTTGTACATGATACGAATTTTGTATAAAGAATGTATACGTTTAATGAAAGAAAAATTTGGGCCTAACTTTTTATACTATTTTATATGTATTTTATTATGTATATTTTTTATGAGTATTTGGGTAGAAAACGGCTATTACATTTTTGGTATAAGAGCCGAGATTTTGGGATTTGACAGTGTACCATTCTCGTCGCTATGATGTCCGAGAGTCGACTGTGTAAGTTAATTCTTTCCTTACGTTAAGTGTTTTCTTAAATTGATCAAGTATGGTTATTTTTTAGATGAGGCGTAGTAATAGGAGGAAGGGTAAGAGTGTGATGAACGAGGGAGAATCCTCTAACCCACTAGAATCAACTCCCCCTATCCTTGATGAGACAAGGATTCGAACCATTGTACAATAGGTATTAGCGGAGAGCTAGGGGAGAGTTGTTCAGGAGAGAACCGAGACCCCTAGTAGAGTACTGCCCACAAGACAAGAACGAGAAGGGCCGGTACCTCAGACAATATAGACTCGGGTTGATCCGATTCAGGGCCTTGCAAACCAGCACCAGCCGTCAGCGTTTAGGAATACTAAGGACCCGCTAGAGGCAAAGGAGTGGTTTAAGTCCGTAGAGCGGACGGCGGCACTGTTTCCCATGAATGATAGAGAAAGGATCAGATATGCCAGTTTCTTATTTAAGGGAGATGCTCGGATTTGGTGGTAATTAATGGAGAAGACTCATGACATGGCCTCGATGACTTGGGAGGAATTCAAGAGATTGTTTGAGGCCGAGTATCGAACAGAAGATCGAGTACATGAGAAAGTCCAAGAGTGTATTAATTTGAAGCAGGGGTCTAGTACGATGAAGGGATATTCAGTAAGATTCAACTCCCTTGCTCGCTTTACACCCAGAATAGTGTATACTCCGGTGTTAAGGAGGGACAAGTTTGTGCAAGGGTTGAGATAAGATATTGCTCGAGATGTAATGACAGGAGCTGGGCCTCCTCATACCTATAGTGAGGCTTTGACAAGGGCTTTAAGGGTAGAGATTTATGTAAATAAACATATTGCAGAAGGGTTATCTTCACTGGTACCTAGTGAACCATCCACTACTGATGTTACCCTAACCTCAAATCAATCTTGGAGAATACTGCTGCTCCCTTCAACTGGTCAAACAAATCATCTATTCGAGCTAACGGGTACTTATTCTTCACTGTCACCTTATTCAGCTCTCTGTAATCAATGCACATTCATAATGACCCGTCCTTCTTCTTAACAAACAGAATTGGAGCTCCCCAGAGAGAATGACTCGGTCGGATAAAGCCTTTATCTAAAAGCTCTTGGAGTTGCTTCTTTAATTTCTGAAGCTCTATTGGGGCCATTCGATAAAGGGCTTTAGATATGGGTGTTGTTCCTGGTGCTAGTTCAATACTAAACTCAACCTCTCTTTCCGGTGGCAAAAATAATTAGGCCAATAGTATAATTTTGGAAAATTAATGAAATATTTTCCTATAAATGAGAGGAAATTTGTTCAAGCCAAGGGAGAGAACATTTCTTCAACCTTTCTTCCATTTTCTCTCAAATCTTCCATGAAACAAGCTTTCTCTCTCTAAGTTTTAAAGGAGTTTTGCATAATTTTTTAAGGAGAACAAGATAGGAGCCTTGGATCTTCAAGTTGAAGGGTTTAAGGTAAGGATTAAAAACCCTAGTTTTGATGTGATTTGAAGATTTGAAGTAGATGTTGAGGTATAATGTTATATATGTAGGATTAAGGTGTAAAAGAAGACAAAGGCAAAGGATTTGTTGGAGGAATTCTTTAACAAGGTAAGGAAGAACCTCCCATGACTTTAGGGATGATGCTAGGGTTTATAGATTTTAATGAAACCTTAAATTAAGGTTTTAAGGCATAGAATTAGTTGATGGCAAGTGTAGTTGAACTTATTTATTCTATTTATTGCCTTG